TCCCCAATAGGCATTTGGAATCGACTTAACCCTACCTTTACTATGGCCGTACACTTCTTTAGGCACTATACATCTACTAATGGAACCACGAATCCACCCAAAACTGTTACCTAGATTTGATCTATGAGTAGGGCAAATTGTAAAATCATCGATATCTTTTGGTGTCTCGAAGATGCCGGCTCGCGACAAAATAAGATCAACTTCAGTTTCTGGATCTCCGCAAGTAACTTGGAATGTCTTTTTTACAACTACGCAAGGTAACGACCTGAGATATGCAACGTCGGTCTTCTCGGTAACTATACCCAAAAGTCCCACCAGCGAACGATTTAAATGAACAGCAAATCTCCTTGTTAACATGTAAGATGAGACGCTTATACAACAGATCAATTAACTAAATCAGTATGTAGCTTGTCAATCGCATTGACTTTTGTAAACATTCTCTGACTTCCGCCGGCAAAGGAATTATTGATGGATCTGAACGTTTTAGTTTTCTGAATACAGTAATTCTTGGAAGGTTTTTATAGATATGAAAAGAGGGGGGAAAAACCCATCTCTAGGTAATTCGGAGGTTGACTCATCTTTGAATTTATATGTGTAACGCTTGTCATGCAACTAATATAATAATGTGGGCAAGATTTACAAACTGCAAATTAAATCTGGCTAAAATGCAGTAGAGTGATAAATAAACAAGGTAAGAGTGTCATGTTAGATTTCTTTACAAAATGTAGTGATTTATGCCAGTAAACAGTGGCGACAAGTAGGCACACGATGTATATTTCATAGTCATTAGCAAGTAAATTTTGGCGGACTTTGAGTTCGTCTCACGATAGAACAACACATGTACACAAATAACTTTTTACAGTAACTTTATAACCATCCTTTTGTCTTTTAAAAGCTAGAAGCTCAGTAGATTCTGTCATATCGGTCATTGTTAAAACTGTCTTTGTTTTGAAGCTAATTTTCGACATAGAAAAAGTATATCGGACAAAAATATTCACCAAAAAATAAATGTATCTTTGCCAGCTTCAATATTGACAAGGGATTAAGTGTAGATGATAAAACAAAGGATTATGCCGATAGAAATACCGGGATCAAGTAAATTTTCATATTTGAGCGGTCGAACGAAAAAACTCATTTCTCGGAAACTAACATATATTTTCGCAAAAAAACCACACCACAATTATTAGGACATATTGGGCTACAAAATATGAAAATAGGAGAGAAAACGAATTTGAGCGACTTGCCGCTGTTTGTCTGATGCATGCTGACATTAGCTCTTAAATGTCTTAGCGCGCGCGCTAATTGCACCACACGCCATTCCGGTACTTTCTTCTCAACACTCGGAGTTTAAACAACGACTGAGTGTCTTGGAAAAGTGTAGAAAGGTTGTACTTTCATTGCGACTTTCTCGGTGACGTCTCTGCTCATTATTGAACTCAGCATAAGTTAGGCCTGGCTCAAATCATTATGATGGAAATCAAGGACATAAACATGATTTCTAGCCAACGACTGTCTTTATTTCAATTCGCATCCTATCTATTCTAACATTGCTTATACAAAATAATCTAAATTACATTTTTTTTATAATTAAAGAATATTATTGCGATCAAATAAAAACTTGTGTGGTCATTGTATTTTATAATAAATATGGTTTTTAAAATGACCTCTAGGTTAATTATATTTCAGCATACTTCATTTTGAAATAATCGTCCTATCGCAGTTTGCATTAACTATCAAATAGTGAAAGTCAGTCATACACACCCTAAATAATAAGCCATTATTTTTCCTCAATCCGAATCAGAGAGGGTTGTCCCTTGACATCAGTCGTCCTGCTTTAAAAACTAGATAAAAGTTATTATACTAAAACGGTTTTTATACTAAAAGTTGTTTTACTGAAACTTAGTTTAACTCTCGTTGAGACCTAGTAGCTTTATTATCCCGGCAAAACCTTTATTTTAAAGATCATTTCAGGAAATAATTTTGTTGTATACTGTTCATTTTAGCTGAGATGCTAGTAGACACCCAAGGTAAAGTTTCCATGCAAATTTGTTAAAATATATTTGAGGACATTCGCATTGATTGAACACTAAAGAAGAAGCTGATTTGGTCGTATTGTCGCACTTTAAATCATTTAATATGTACCAGAGCATCCTTTCCCACTCCCGAGAAGAGAGAGCCATTTGGCATGTAACAAAAGGGACCTCTAACAATGTAA